CAGCAAACGAAGATTCAATTAGTCAGTTCTGTGTACAGCTTGACTGCCAAGCTTTCTCAAGGTCTCAACTTGCTGGACGCGGATATATACCAAGGATATACTTTAACGGGCTAACAACAGCAACAATAAAAATCTCAATCGTACCACGAAGAAGGCGATGTGGCTCAGAAAACAACGCCGGTAGGACCTGATATTAAAAATAAGACTTTTGCCGGCGAAGCCAGTTGGCAGAACATCTTGGCTGTCAACAACAAACTTTCGAATAGATGACTAGTTTGGCTGTTCTTTCAGCGTCGTGTGTCCAAAATTCGTCAAAGATCTTGATAAAGACCTTCAAAATACTATTTGTTTGATTTATTTTCTGCCATAAAGCATAAAAGAAAAGAAATTCGAAGAAATCGATAATGGATTTGTTACGTGCATTTGACCTTTATATTATTATTGTCCCCTTAGCCCTTCACCGAGCTATTTTTAAAACTGTTGTTTATGTGAACTTGCAACCAATCAAAATCTTAGGGCCTGAACTTCAGGTCAAAATCTACAGGCACGATAATTTATATTTGAAGTATTCAAGCGCCAACAGCGGTATATATTTATTATATAGTTTTCTTTATTTTAAATACTACAAATGTATTTCTGGACCGCTCGGCCCCTCCGGGTAATGAAAATTTATAGAACCCGCCCGCCTCACAAAATGAACCAATTTCATTGCTCGACATATACAAGTGATCTATGGTCACAATCGCTAATTACAGACGTCTGGTATTTCTATAATTATATTGGAACGAAACATTATTTCTTTTTTAAAGAAATATATTCTTGTTGACAGTGATCTTGTTAATGTAGTGGATATTCATGTCTCCTTCTCTGGTACTAGTCACGACAAACATCTCTTATCTGATTTTCAGATTTCATTAATGAATCCCATCGGTCGAGAAATTCTACACACTCTTGACAGACCGGAGTCCAGATATTTAACATGGACTTTGAATGCAGGCATACGAAACTTTAAATTACATTTCAAAGAAAGCCAAACGGAGTGCATTAAAATGGAAGAAAATGTAACTAATTTTACCCTCGAGAATACGCAGAATATAATTCGCAGCATAAACCTGGCAACAAACTACGAAGTTTGCTCTTCTTATAAGGAAACTTCATCAGGAGAAGTAAAACGAACTTGCTGTCAGATTACAAAATCCAATTCGACGAAATTCAGTGATGGCTGCTCCAAACCAAAATCATTTCTTTACAGGAGTAACCTTTTTGGGCTGTTATATATCTTCTGATGCTTTTATTTCCCTGGTTCTATTTGATGTGGTTGCTAATGGTGGTTTTATCTCGTACTGAGTTCGATTTAAAATATCCCAAATATTACAAGCTGGAGGAAAGCAGGATGTCGCCATCTTTTATTCTCTTTAAAATTATTTGGGAAGAAAAAGGTTACCTAGTATCCTGTTATCGTAGACTTGTATTAATATGTGTCTTTTCGTATTGCACTTGCTTGGTTTCATGGCCAACAAAATTGAATGTTTTCATGCCAGTTCTTGCCTTTTCCTGGGGACTATTGTTTTTAAGTTCGTATGTGTACAAATCTAAGATTACGGACCCAAATATTCTTCTAATTAAAATAAAAAAAGACGCAATAAGTGGTTAAATCTTGACTTCAAAATGCTGCAACTTGTTGCCGAGTCAATGCGCCATGAAGTTGACAGTGGAGAATTTGGACGCATAATTAAAGTATTCACTTTGCCATTTAAACTATTTTTTTGGACAGAGATAATAAGGAATTTGCGCAATTTGTTTACGACTTTTACCACATGTGTAAGTAAACGGTTCAGAAATCGTATTCTCAAAATTTTCGCATTATGCACGTGTTATGCACTTGCAGTACCGATTTGTTTGCTTTATGTTTGTATTGTATTTCTCACATTCATCATTGGATATCCTTTAATCTGCACAGAATGTATTTTAGCCCTGATTCAAGACTTGGAATATACGAGCAAGTCTAGCTGTTCACGATTCTTGCGTTCGTTACACCACCTTTGTGTTGTATTATTTCTCATGGTTACTTTGTTCGTAATGATATTCGCGATGCTGTCTTTCGTTTTAGGATTGTTTCTAAATCTTATTTACTTCATTCCCTTATTTCGCATTTTTCTCTGTCCCAACATTCTACTGTTGCAGTTATTAGAAGACCATGGAAGAGAAATACTGCGTATTAAAACGTCTAATTTACGAAGCATGTCGAGACAAACAGCAAGACGATAATGGCTGCATACCAAATAGACATCCCAAACGCGAGGAAAAAGTATTACCTGTGGTGTCCAAAGAGCTTTATGATAAAATCAGAGAAGAATTGTTACCGTACGATACGAACTTATTTTATTTTGGATTGAAAATATTTTGGTCTTTTGTATTCTCATTTGGTATGCTTCAGCTAATCAATATGCTAAATGAATTCAATGTTACTGGTGTAGTTCAAGTTGTGACAACTGCGAGTCTCGGTATCATGCCGCACATATTCAATATGGTAGGGTTGAAAATAAGCGAAGAAAGAAAAAAAGCATGGGAGGAAAAGTTGAAATTGAATGTGAAATACATGGTGGAAGAATTAGTTGGTGAAGATTCAGAACGAGTTCGGACGGTTTTGATAATGGAAGAGGATAATGATACGACATCTGAAGAAAATATTCAAGATTCTGAACATGTTCAAGCTAGCTCTGACTTAAATTCACCTGATAACGTTGAAGATCCTGAACTAGCCGGAGTTCTGGTAATACAAGATGATATTGACACGAGAGCAGATGAGAATGTGCAAGCCAGATCTGACTTAAATCTACCTGACAATGATGACGTTGAAGATCTAGCGCCGACTTTGATAAGACAAGAGAATAATGACACGACAGCTGAGGAAAATATCCAAGATTCTGAACATGCTGAAGCCAGGTTTGACTTAAATCTACCTGACGATTATGACGGACTTCCGATTGTGATAATACATTCACCGCCTGTTACGGAGACATCCATGAGAGCGGATGACACGACAGCGGATCACGCGACAGCGGATGACCGGACAGCGGTTGACACGACAGCGGATGACAGGACCGCGGTTGATACGACAGCGGGTGAAATAGCGGATGACACGACAGCGGATGACAGGACAATGGTCATCAGGCCTGTCTTAAATCCATCTGACAATGATGACGTTGGTGATGCTGAACTAGCGGGAACTGTGACAAGACAAGAGTATAATGACACGACAGATGAGGAAAATATTCAAGATTCTGAACGTGTTGAAGGGTTTGAGTTGGATCTGTATGATAATGATGACATAAGTAGTGAACGTGAGACCTTAATTCAGCACGAAACATCCGTGTAACTTTTTATATAAACTTTCTGCATAACTATTGTGTTGGCATATCAACGTACCTCATATCAACGTACGTTTCTCAGGATATCTTCACAATCTCATTCCAGGCCTTTTTCCGCGCCGTTTTGGAGACTACATTTTCCGAACTGTTTTGAAACACGGTGGAAAAACCGTCAAAATGTCACGAACGACGCGTTGTTGAAATTTCTTATGTGCGTCTGTTGTTAACCTCAAGCCCAGATCAAACGAGATGAGAGTTGGTAGTCACGCATTGTTACACGGGGCATTTCAAGCTCTAGATGAACAAAATAAAGGTTTGATGGGTGTTCCATCTATGTTTTAACTTGAATAGAATACATGATAGTGTTTGGAAAGCATTAAGAACAGCTAACCAAGATCACGCGACTGCCAACTCTCATGCATTCTCTTTTGATCCAAGCTTTATTATACACACTTTGTCTCGTTACAGTCATGGAAATAATACCCGCAGACTTTTTTCAAACGTGTCTTCTCTTACCATTTTGTAAAGCCATTTTATTTTTAGTTAATACAAACGTCCATTGTCGCTAGAAATAGTACCCCCTGCCCCTATTGCACAAGCTTGTTTCAAACTATGATTATTGAATTGCAAACCAACATCTTGAAGGGGGGAGGGAGGATTTGGTAAACTTTTCAATAGTTTGCAAATTAATTTCCATGATTGTAAATTTGAATTTATTTTTGTTATCTATTTTGTTGAATGTTTTAATAATAACATGGATTTTTCTTGTAGAAAATACATTTGAAATTACAAATAATATATGAAAAGAAAGCTTATAGAAAGATTAACAATATAAGTACTGCATTTATTAAAAAAATATCACGTCAACTGTAGAAATTAATCAAATAACAACAGTTCGGGGAACTTACCGAAATCGCGCGAAACGTGGCTGAAACGAGGCTGTGACGCTATTACTTTATGTGTTAAACTTTGTAAGAACTAAACATTGAACCAAATTAATTTACGAAGATGGAATCGCGAAACTGATGCGATGCATTAAATTGAAATGTTTAGAATGCTTAGTAACGTATATTTACATTATATTATATTTCGGCAATTGATAATTGTATTTTTCATATATCGACGATTGATAATTCTATTTTTTATATGTCGACGATTGATAACTGTATTTTTCATATATCGGCAATTGATAATTGTATTTTTCATATATCGACGATTGATAATTGTATTTTCATATATCGACAATTGATAATTGTATTTTTCATATATCGACGATTGATAATTGTATTTTCATATATCGACAATTGATAATTGTATTTTTCATATATCGACAATTGATAATTGTATTTTTCATATATCGACGATTGATAATTGTATTTATCATATATCGACAATTGATAATTGTATTTTTCATATATCGACGATTGATAATTGTATTTTTCATATATCGACGATTGATAACTGTATTTTTCATATATCGGCAACTGATAATTGTATTTTACATATATCTGCAATTGAAAATTGTATATGTAAAAATAATCTTTGTATTAAATATGTTTTTGTTTTAAATGTTTTCGTCATTTATTGCTATTACGACGGACTTCGGATTTGAAATGCTGGCCACTGATCTTATAGCAACTACTGAATGGAGGATTCTTTTGAATTCAATAAACCAATACCTATCCATGATGCTCTACCAAGTTTTTTGCGCATCGTGTCGCCTCCAGTCGGATTGAACGCCCGAACTTGGCGCCGCGACCTTAGCTTATCTTTAAACGCTTAGTTATTTACATAATATTATGTGCGGACACATCCTACAGGAAACTGCTGACCCAAAATAGCATGGTTCGTGCAACCACAAATATTCAACGCAAGCACGCTACATATTCGAAATTATATTCTTTCACTTGTTGAAGGTTATAGGTTTGATAATTGATAGTCGTGTTTATTTCGGGATAATGCTGACCGCCCATCTTTCACATTCTTACCTCTGATTTTTAGCGCTCAAAATCGCAGATGAGTTAGCGTGATGATTTGCTATTGAAACGAATATTGCGCAGTAATAATAATTTATTCAAATCTATAAAGATAGTCGTACATTAGGATAGACACTAATCCGGAAATAGCTTTAGTTAATGTGGGCGGATTGTGTGGATAACTATATAAATATTATTAAAATTTATTTACATACTGTAGCCATTGAAGATTCAGCATAAAAGCTGATTTTCAATGGGCCGTGTTATACATAAGTAAGTTAAAATATTTACAAACTAAATACAACATGCAATATTAAGCAATTATTGGATGAGGCTGAGCATGATATCAAGAATTATTCAGACCGAGGTCAATGTTATCTGCCGAAGCGAAGCTGAGGCGGATAACATAGACCGAGGTCTGAATCATTCTTGATATCATGCGAAAGCCGAATCCAATAATTGTTTTATTATACATTTAAAGACATGAGAAACGTATAAAACGATTCCTGTTCATGAGGTAGGAAAAGTACAATTTGAATATCAAACACCTTGCAGAAAGTCAAATTAAGGCCAGCTAAATATTCTATTTCTACTTCTACTTACCCCTTTGTGGCTTTTTTCGTACTTTCAGTATCCTTATCTGCCAATAATTTGGAGAGTTCACTTTCATTCAGCGAAGCGAATCTGCTGTAGGCCATTGTTTGTTTGTGGTTTTTTTTCGCGCGCTTATAGGTTCAAGCTTTTGGCCGCGCAAGGGTTTGGGCACGAGAGAGTCCAGTAATTTTTTTTTTGGATGCAAGTTCGATCCAAAAAAACAATTATTGGACGCTGATGACGTCATCGGCGGAAAATACGTAATAAATGCCGAATACTGAAAATTAGCCGGTGCTTTCTGACCAATTAGAAACGAGAATACATATTAAATGTATAATAATAAATATTATCCACATAATAACTAATTATATGCAACCTGGTTTTTCGTATCTCTGAGGATGGTTCTGAAAATAGAATATGCAACCTAGTATTTTATATACGAGTCATTTGCGACTTACTTAAAAACCGCAGCTTATTTTCGCTCGTACAAATGGCCTTATTGTGACGATTTCTGTGACGTAACAGAAATTAAACTATTATGCGTTACTTATTATACGCGCTGTGATGCACTGAAATCACTTCAAGTATTAATACAGGCGCAGGCCCGGAGCTACAGCGGGGGGTGGGGGGGAGGGGGGTGACATCCCCAGAAACTGTATTCAGTCGGCAGGACGGCTATTCAGTCGGTAGGACTGCTATTCAGTCGGTAGAACTGCTATTTGGGTTAAATATTTTCGCGCAAAGGGCAAGATCGGGGTCGGAATTTTAGAAAATGTTTTTGGAAAAATGGAGAAAATTTGTGATGTCCGGAAAATTTTTTTAGTGTTCCGGAAAAATTTTGTATGTCCGGAAAAATTTCTGGTCCCCTTATATGGTACACTGACCAAAATCTTTTTGCGGAAAAAATGTTTTCGGAACTAGTCGGTTGAAATGACCTTA